TCCTTCATTTGAACACCCTACTTTAAAAAAGAAAAAAAGAAAAAAAATTTTTTTGCTAGTCTGATACATAGCAAGAAGTTAAGCAAAGCAGTTGGAACATTAGTTGTTATTGTTATTTTATGGTATTGGCATGTTTGTTTAAAATTTTCCATTTCAATGAAGGCTTTGTTTAGGGACCTAGCCTAGTGATATGCAAAGCAGTGTATTGTAAATGTTATGTAAATAGCTCTCTGCAAAAGAAAGAAACATAATGATTCCCTAGATAGATCATTATGTTTGTCTTAATGCAATCATAGCATATATGTCATTAGCCTAGGCTGCTACTAGGCTCTAGGTCATTGAGATTTCAGCAACTTGCATCTGATTAAAGGACTCCTAGAACCAGGAGTTTGACTCTAATGATGTTTGTTTGACTGCCTGATTGATTCTCTTATTAGATGGAAACATAAAGAAAACTGTAACTAAACACTTGATTTGGCAACTTCAATCTTAAAACATTTCTCCCCTTAATATCACTCTTGTTTATTCAAATATCCTAAAATAAAAAATTAAATATATATTAAATAACTACCCATGCACACATGATCAAGCATTTGCCATGTGAATGTGTGCTTATGCGTACACACACACACACACACACACACACACACACACGTATTAGGAAAGGAGCTCATTTTGTTCCATGTTTGATTTTCCACAGTTTGAAACACTGATTATTTTCCTAATCCTGCATTTCCCCTTTTGCTTTTGATCCAGTTTTATTCCTCCATTGTTAGTTTCTGTATCATCAAATAGAAATAGTTATTTATTTTTGTGCCTTCTTACCTATTTTTTTGAGGATTTCAGAGGATTAATGAGAACCAGGGTCCTAACAGCAGTACATCTGTTTTGAGAAGTCATTGGTGGCTAATAAATAGTATATAGCAATCCCTTTTATGTCATTGTGAACATAGGATAGCATTTTATGAGAAACTAGAAGTTGCTCTCTGAAAAATATAATTGATGAGATCCCGAGCAATGCACTTCCTTTTTTCATTTGGTCTTTGAGGAGACAGCAAAATACAGGTGCTCTAAAGAAAAAGAAAGCATATTTGAGTTGTGTTTATGTCATACAATGTATTTATCTTTCTTTAATTGTAAAATGTGTATAATACCTAGTTCATTCTTACCACCGTGTACTAAATACAAAATAAATGCATAACTTATAGGGAAGTTTTATATACTTCACAGTAAAAATATACACCACTAATATGTTTTCTTTTCCCCTCAAATTTTAAGATATGTAGAAACATACACATAAATCTGTGAGTAATAAATGTAATTAGCATATCTCAAATTCTAAAATAAGTTAAAACAATATTGCTTATGAGCATATCATATAATTTTTATATAAAGCAATAGAATAACATTCTTTCATGTGATTCTAAATTAAAGTAGTGAAAATGACTACATATGGCATGCCTTGGTTTAATTATATTTCAAAAATAAACATTCAATTCACATATCCTCCTGGAATTGAAACTTGCTTTTGTCTCTTGATATTCTCCTTAACTATTTATTCATAAAAATCTCCTGTTCTACTCCAGATTTTTTTCTAAGGAGGATTTCACATGTTCTTTAGTATTTTATTTAACTTGATAGGGTTTGGTTCTATTCAAAGTTGTGAATACAGGTAATACTGTTGTAAATATTTAACATGTAAAACTTGATAACAATTCTGTTTATATTTAGTTATGGTGAATACTTCAGATTCATATTTCCCTCAGTAAGCATTCATTATTTATGTAAGTCTATACCATTTGTTTTCATTCATGTTAATACATCGACTGAAAATTCATTTGTAGAAATGGAGAGGAGGTCTGTGCTGGAACGCATATGGGGGAAAAAAGATGTTCATACGTCCTAGAAGGCTGCCTTAATTACCATTTATATTAACTGTAATTGATATTTAGTTTCAGGTAATGAATAAATTGGATTGCATGAAAATGGAATTCTAACACCTATCCCTGTTTCTTCAAGTATAATGACCACAATTGACTCCATGTAATATAATGTAGTGTCACAGTATCTTTTTACCAAGTTTTATTATTCTGTAGTTATCAATGCTCCTAGTCCATTCTTAAGATGTTAGAACAGGTGCCTAACATATAAAGAGGTAATTATTCATAAACCAATAATTATTTAGTACCTCCTTTGGTGCTGTATGCTAAGAGAAAGACAGTCAAAAATCTCTGCTCTAATAAACCTGTATTCTAGTGGGGGAATAGATTGCAAAGAAATACATAGACATACAAATAAATACTTACAGATGATAATGGATCATGTGAAGAAAATAAACAAGGGTAGGAGGATAGAATGATCAGGGAAGATTTCATTGAGATGGTGACATCAGAGCACAGTCAGGAATGAAGCGAGTAGGGAAGCTGTGGTGTCCTGAAGAAAGAGTATTAAAGCCAGAGGGAACAGACCCAGAAGCAGCCATTGCTTTTTTGTCTGAGGAACAGCACAAAGGTTGATTTGGCTGGAGTGGAATGAGCTAAAGGGAGAGAGTTGGAGAAAATGTTAGCGAAATAGGCAGGGTGGGGTCACTTAATGCCCAGTGGTCTGTAAGTAAGAGAACCATGGGGATGGTGCTGAATGTGATGGGAGCCCCTGCAGTGTTTTGAGTCGTCATGTGAATTGGTCTGAGCTTGTCTAATGTATGTTCTATGGATCCTAGTCTCAAAACAGACTCAGGATCCATCTCGGGAGATAGGCCTTGTTTACAAAGCACATCTTTTGTACTGTCTGTTGAGCATCAGGAATTCAGGAGAGTGTAGAAGCAGAGATCTGGAAAAATTTAGGGTGAGAGGACGTGAGACCTGAACTGAGCTTTACAGAAAGAATAGTATGTAGATGTGTAGAAATGGAGTCGGCCCAGGGGGAAAGTTAAGCAGTTTCTGTTTAGGGACATTAGAGTTGACATGCTAGCAGTATTTTAAAGTAGAAATAGCCAGAAAAAGTGTGATTAAAGCCAAGAAGGAAGATTAAGTCTCCATAGAGAGGTAAAAGTTGTTGAAATACTTTAAAGAGTTTAAGCAGTAAGAATAGAGGATTAATATTATACAAAAATTATATATTTTAACCAGAGATTGATTATGGCACCAAGATTTTAAAAAATACAGAAAAGAAAAGAAACTATTATTTTAGGAAAACAACTTAGTTTGTCAAAGGACAGTCAAATTCCCATATATGATATATAACTATTAATGTTTTAGAAAACTTCTTCAGTATGTATCCCAAGGAATATCAAAGAGATGCTTTGGATTGCGTTCATTTATTGCCCTGTAGAAATTTAACCATCTACATTAAAAAAAAAACCCATTATTATTCATTGAGCGAGTCCTTGTACTTTAATATTAATAATGCATTTGTTATTTACACATATTTGTACATATTTCCTATAGAAATGCAATGAACTTTAATTGAATAGTTTTAGCAACCCTTGAACTATGAAGCTATATTCCTAGAACCCTACTGACTCTAAGTTCTGGACAAGCCAAAAAACATAGGGTGTCTACACAAGAACAGGGTGAAACAAGCGATGCACCCAAGTTTCTCTGTGCGTTGGTCTAAATTCTAATCCATGGACAGTAGTCATCAAGATTTGGTAGTAATATTAAAATTGAGAATAAATGATTTCCATTGATGTGATATTAATGTGCAATAAAATAATCATGTGAACATTTTTCATTGATCACTTAACTCTGAGTTAATTATATCTATTAATTGCAGTTACCTTGAAACAGGCAGATTTCTAAATGTGAGAAATTTCCCTGAGTTTCTCCTTATTAAGCATTTTTAATGTTTTTATACTTTTAGCTAAAGCCAAAAAGATATTCTTCTTTTGATTAACCTATATGATTTATAGCTAGCAAATGTATCAACTTTAATAATATTTTTTAAAGTGACAGTAAGTCTGGCGACCTTTTAAGTTTGTAAAGCCCTGTGGACTTTATGACTTCTGTTGCAAACAATCATTATTTATAAATTGTGGTGATGATGGGTTGATTTAAACGTGATTAGAACTCCCACGATGCCAAGTCTATGGATGTTTAATGGACCTACCCAGCTTAGTGTCTTTGGAACGATTACTCTGTAAACTAAGATTTCTGATCTATTACATAAAAGAATAAAACTTTAATTCAAGTTGAAAGTAGAGTTTGTTTGGATTTGGGTTATCATTTTTCAGATGTATCTAAATATTTATAATGTATGTTGCCTTGGGACTACATTCATTCTTTCATCTTTTTTAAAAATATTTTTGAAATATCTACCTTGTGCCAGGCACTGAATAAATGTTGAGAATATAATGATAAAAAAAACAACAAAAAGTGATACTGACCCTGTTCTCAGGAAGCATACAGTCTAGTTGTACAGATGACAATAATTAACCAGTCAATTAAGTTCAAAATTATAATTGTGGTAAGGTTACGGAGTAAAGGTACATGGGGGTCAGGTGGAAGTGGGTAGTAGGAAGAAGTGTCACAGAATTCACATTCTGCGTGTTAGGTCTATACATGTGGTATCCTTCAAAAATAATAATTCTTGTATCTTCTTTTTGGGGGGCCATGATAGATAAGTTCTAACTGTGATACTTTTTAGGGAGTTTGAGTTAAGCTTCTGAGAGTTATTGTATTTCCTTAAGCCTTAGTTTTAGGAATCCCCTCTCATAGCCAGAGGACAGCTGGAGAAAAGTCTCAATTTTTTCAGATCCATATACGTTCTTTATTCCCACGTAGTCATGTTTGATATCCATTTAGAGGGAGTATTTTATTTAAGAATCGGGAGGGAAACATTCAAATTCAAGCTGAAATGTAAGCCATTAATTTTGAGTAACCAGGGAAAAGAATTTCTACTTTTTTTTTCAATTTTGCATTATTATAGCAGCTCAACTAATGCATATATAATTTTCTCTCCCTTTTGCTTGTCATGTACTGCCAACATGGACTTCTACAAAGGCTCAGGTTGGTGTTGCAATCTGTTTTGATCTATACTGTTTTCATTTAGTGAAAAGAAGCTTTGATGTTTTCCTTCACAAATCAGCTTTTTTTCTCTTTGTAGATCCCAATCAAAACATTGATCACACTAGGAAGAAAAAATCCTCCTAGAGGAGCTCAGTTTCTAATATGTTGCTAATGTGGAATGAATTCCTTTAGATCAGCAAAGTGACTGTTTAAAAAACCCACAAAATTGATTTATATCTGCTCAAATTTGCCTTGCCTGGTATATTTTATGAAATGAATAAAACAATGCGCTGATATTTCAGAATGTACCAGGCTCTGAAAATGTTTCTGATATAAATCTCTCTACTTTCAAAGTATATTAGATGGCATCTACATGATCTCTGTATATCCAAACTTAGTATTGAGAATTCCATAAATAGCTTCTCATTGAGATGATGATTCTAGAATCACCAAATTCTTAGCAAATGACACTACGAATATCAAGTTTTTTCTCTCTCAATTGCTCTTCTTATTTTTTAAAGGCATTCATATTTTTTCAAGATTTTATCAGTGTCTCATGTAAATCTCAGCTCTTTGTTACTTTTATAGTTTCAATAAATCCACATGCTATTTCTGACCATCCCAATTTTTGTTTGAAATATTGTTGGTCATATAATGAACAAAAGAATCAGTAATGTTTTCAGAGGCTACCTCTACAAGTAGACGAGCATGATGTTAATGATCCAGAAGCTAAGTACAGCTAACGTGAATTTGTCAGTCACAGGAGCATCCAGATTTTTTCATGTGCAGTATTTTATAGGGACTAACAAGGAAAAATAAAATCTAGGTGGTTTGGATCCCATGTACTGGGGAGGGCATAAAATGTACAACTCCAGACCTACCCATCCTTCTGTTGATTAGAGGTTAGGTAGCAGACTTTCAAATTCAAAGAATTTTATGTTATCATCCCTCCTGTTGTGTTTAAGCTTCATCTAAATGCTTAAGTTGGCTTTTGCTGGTCATATGGTATATACAATCATGACATAATATTCTTAGGGTTGTCTCCAATTTCATGATCTGGGCATATATAAACAGTTTATGTACAGGACAAATTTTCTGAAATGAAATATTTATTTCATATTCTTGTATTTACCTTTCAAAATTGTTATAATGATTTGTCAAAATGAATTCTTAGAGTCCTATAGAAATGTTTATGTCTGAGTAAGGATAATGGCTTTTCGCTAAGGAAGCTATATACCACATTGCCTGACACATGCAATTTGGTGGATTGTTTTAGCTTTTAACCCAAAAAGCCATCCCTTTTTTAAAGTTGAAGATAGTGGGCATTGTTCTCCTAGTTCATAACATATTTCTTTCTGAATAACCAATCCATCATTTATTGATTAGTGTATTTTATTTTTATTCAAATTTACATAAAAAAAAAGATTCCATGTAAAATTTCCCTCCAAAATGTGTTTATATAATATAAAGGCTAAAAAATTAAAAGTTTCATAGAGGTTATAATGTCATGTATAAAATGGGCTGTAAGATGCCGAGAAAGGTTAAGCAAAGCTAACTGCACAGGTAGTGAGATCTGTGTTACAACTAAGCTCTGCCATAGTAGCACAAAAGCAGCCATTGGAAGTACATATTGAGCATGGCTGTGACTCAATAAAACTTGATTTAAAGAAATAGGCAATTTCAGCAAAAATAGTAGAGAAAGGACCTCCCAAAATCCTCTCCTGCAAAAAAGCAACAAGAACACTGGCAAAAAAATTGTCCAAATAAGGTTTCTCAGAACTGTGTGAATTAATCAAAGACTGAAGCAATCTGGGGAGCATTTACTCAAGAAAAATCGCTGAATCTTAGAATAGGAATCTTTAATGCATTTTAACTTGTCTCATTTCCTTGTCTCCAACCCCAGCTCCACAATAGTCTTGACGGAAGCTGTCCAAAATCATAGTAAAAAATATAGTCAGTCTGGCAGCCATTAGACAGGGCTGAAGAACATAGGACTTCTTCAAAGTTCTATTTTTGAAGAATTGTCATTATTTGACTGTCTGGTGGCTCAAAGGAAGATACCATTCATAAGGCTGTCTTTGTTTGATCTGACTCAGAACTGGCCCAGTATGTACAGCTTTGTCCTTTGGGGCATTAGTCCAAAATAATCAGAGACAAGTGTTTAAGTTGTGGCTGCCTGATATGGTAGCTAACAGTTAGGGCACACAATAGGATAACAAAAAGTGTAAAAAGAAAAGCTCAGGGAAGGAGATGTTCACAGGGGTTCTGAAAAACTGCCATATTCCTGGGAATTAAATGGCCATTTACATGTATGGGGCTGTGCACATACTTAGGAAAGCTAAATATGTGCTTATTTCAGGCTAACCTGAGGCTCTGTGCAAGCAGAAAGTGAAGACCAAGTAGAGTTGTAAATTACCTGGCTGAATTTTGGATATGAGCGACAACAAACAAACACATAGAGCCCCTCATCAAAGACGGGGAGAATCATCAGTACCAAGCCTTAAAGGAAATCTGTCAGATCATTAGACATGACAAACAATACAGACATTCCAGAATTAGTTCAAAAAGTCACTAAACAAAACAACAATAACAAATAGCAATGTCAATGAACACTGAAGGCAGCAAAGAAGCTAATCTCCAGGGTTGCCATATTAAATTATTTTAAATGTCCAATTTGCAACAAAAAATTATAAGACATGCAAAGAAAAAAGCCAGTATGGTCCATACACAGGAAGCAGTCAATAGAAGCTTTGTGAGGAAGCTGAGATGTCAGATTTACTAGACAAAAATTTTTAATCAGCTACTTTAAATATGTTCAAAGAAATAAAGGGAAGTGTAAGAATGATGTCAAACCAAATAGAGAATATCAACAAGACAGAAATTATAAGGAAGAACCAAATAGATATTCTAGAGTTAAGAAGTAAAAACACTGAGGGCCAGCTGAGTGACTCAGTTGGTTAAGAGCTCGCTCAAGAGTTTGAACTCTGAGCAACAGAGGTTTGAGTCCCAGCCTGAGCTGAGCAGCCGTTGAGCTGCCAACAGGTGGCAGGATGGCTCAGCTAAAAAAAAAAAAAAAAGTACAAACACTAACTTTTCAAAGTTGAAGAATACATATGAAACAATAAATTCCAGTAGGTGATATTGATGTTCTTCCCCCTCAAAAAAGACCTTTTGAGGAACCGAACGTTGACTACAGTATACCATGCAAGTATCTATATATACACAAAAGATTTTTTAAAAAAAAAAAAAAAAAAGTACAAACACTGAAAAAAGAAAATTCACTAGAGGTCCTGAACAGTAGATTTGGACAGGGAAAAAAAAACGTCCATCAACTTGAAGAAAGGATAAAATGATTTGGTATATTCAAACAATTGAGTGTTATTCACCCATAAACAATTATGAAGTACTTATTCATGCTACAGCATGGATGAGCTTTGAAAATATTATGCTAAGTAAAAGTAACCAGACATAAAAGGCCATGTAATTTATGATTCATTTATATGAAGTGTACAGAATTGGCAAACCCATAGAGGCAGAATGTAAATTAGCAGTTAATTGCTGTGGGTCAGGGGAAGGAGAAGATGGATGGTGACTGCTAAACGATATACTTTTTTGGGGGTGAGGGGGGGTGATGAAAATATTATGAATTAAATAGTGGTAATGGTTACAAAAATTAGCAAATATATTAAAATACACTGAATCTTACATTTATAAGAGTAAGCTTTATGATATGTTAATTACATTCCATTTTTTAAAAACAGAAAGAAAGAAAACCGGCAGCAGGCCAAAGTTGGCCCATGGGCCATAGTTTGCCAACATCTACACAAGAGAAAAGGATTTGTGTCATCTTTATTTATATAGCATCTAAGGAAATTATGAGTCTTACATAGTAGAGCATAGTAAATGTCTGATGAATTAATGTATCAGTAAATGAGTAAGTACAAGACATGTAGCTGCAACTGTTAAAAGCACCAACTGTTAGAAGATCTATAACTGTTGTTATCAGATGACACTTACCTTTAATGAAGAATGATTTTCATGTTATTCATACTCTTTTCTTTCTACTCCTTACCAATATCTTATACTCTGTAACACCTTGTATGCAGTAAAAGATCTCTAAATTATTAATGGTTTTTAATTAAGTCTTTCAGCATAGGTCACTTTATATGCCTCAGCTATAAAATTAAAGACTTCTCCTTTTTAGGAGCAATGATTTCATGCTCAAGGGAAATGTCAAAAATTGACATGACTATGGAATTTGTAAATACCTTCTTATATCTTCATCAGGAATAATAGTGCTATTTTCAGAGTGACTCGGGTTGTTTTGCTGGCTTAGCTGGTCTGACTGTGCATCTCTTTCTCTGTGACATACTCAGTGCTGTGGAAGAAAAGAGCATATAAAACATCAAGGCATTTGTCTCTTTTAATCTGTCTCCTCTCCCAGCTTTTGAGGGTGCAATGTTAGCAACTATTCAAAGTTTATTAGGTTAATCTACATGGGAATGCAGATGTAATTTTGATGAAGATGATGCAGTTGAAATAGATGATCATAGTTTATGACCAGCTCCAAAATGTCTTGAACTCCATGCTTCAATGCTAATCTTACTCAAAACAAATATGTCTTGTTATAGTAAATGCTCTCAAAGTTCCTAAAGCTCATATACTATACTGTACTTCTTTTGAAAATAAGTATTAATGTCAGGTTATAAAGAGAAAACCTAGACCTCAAGAGTCGTTTAAGTGAGCTGCCAGGAAATTAATGATGGAGCCTGAAACCAAAGCCCTTTCTCACAGCTTCCTTCATACTCCTCTGCTCACTAGACCACAGACAATCTTTCACACAGTATAAAGGGTCACTGCCCCCATCACTGAAATGAAGCCACCTCCAAAAAAGACTGCATTATCAATTTAATGGATCCAACCAAGGAATCCAATAATGGAGAGCAGGAATGCAACACAAGTGAAGTATGTGATGCTTTCCATCTTTCAAATTGTTCTAC